GGGCTTTCGATTCGTTGACTGATCTTATGGGATAAGTAAAAACATGTTCAGTAGCTGTAAGGTCATTTAGATCTGTACGCGCGTATGAATATATAATTTTCAAATATAATTGGATTTTTACCAACTAACCTATTATGTTTATATTGTAGGAAATTATCTCTGTCGGATTCAAAATGTCCGTTAAACTCCAGTACAACATGTCGGTGCTTTTGCCCGTACAGTTGTTCGTGTCTGTGCCAATGTCCGATGGACACATCTGATCTTGATTTCGATGTGGACATGGAACATCACTACTCCCAGACCGAACAATGCTCCGATTTGGTTACGAACTGTGATAATGATGTTATCATTATTATTATTAATTTTATGTTTTGTTAAATTTATTATATATTGTATAAAACCTAAAAACTATCACACTCTCTCTCTGTGCTATGTTGTTTTTAAAATATATTTTGTACGTTATGCACGGAGCAGGTGCTCAACACACTATTCCTTTTGCCTTATTCTTTTCTATATAGTTTAATGTTTAAATAAAAAGTCATTATGTATATTGAACTAAATCAAAAGTCATAGATAAAATAAAAGAGGTAACGTTCAACAGAATAATACACGGACGGATGTCTTGGAATAGGCATGGGTAATTCCTACGCCCAGATCGAACGATCCCATTCGACTGACAACGATGACTTCGATACGGATATAGATTATCAGTACTCCCAGACTAAACAATCCACCCATCTGGTTGCCGACGGTTGTTTTGGAACGGGCATGGGATATTCCCATACCCAGCCCGAACAATACCATCTAGTTTCTTATGGGGGTTTTGGAACGGGTATAGGTTATCCCTACGCCCAAATCGAACAATTCCATCCTACTACCAACGGTAGTTTCAGTACGGACATATGTTATCCCTACGCAAAGACCGAATTCTTCAAGGATGCAGGTGACAACGTATTCATGTGGAACGTTGAACTACTATCGATAACTACTGGTTAAAGTATGGATTCTAGATCTACATTCTGGAAGCTACAAAATATTGAGGAGGAAGAAAAGGAGGAGGAGGAGGAGGAAAAACTAAGCGAGGTGTTATTATTAGCCTCCGAGAAGTACTGCCGAACTATGGAGGCTCTGAATGCAGATCCAAATTTGAATGATGATGAACGAAAAAAGGTTGATGAAAAAGACCCACGAGGAATATATGAAAGTTATCTGTGATAATCCACCTACGGACTCGGATTCGACAACGGAGGAAGAGTTAGACGATGAGAAGGAGGAGAAAGACGAGGATTTGGAGGATGAGAGCGAGATTGAATGAAAAACGGTTTGTATATATTGATGGAAATTACTTTTTTATTAAATATCAAGAGAAGGACGACGTCAAACTCATCATAAAGTTGATGATTTGATTGATTTTTCAAATATTTTTTAATTTTGATTTCAATCTCTTTTTTTCGATCAATCAATTATTCTTTTGTCCCTGGGTGTTATTTTTCTTTACTTTATAGTACTGTACATATAGCTACACTACATAATTACTAAACATTTAATATCCTTATCGATTACAAAAAAAAAAAAAAAAAGTAAAGTTAATGTATTTATTTCATATTCATTCTATTTAGTTTGTATCTTTAAAATATAATGACTAAAATTTGACGGGAGACTTGAATCCTTTTGATATTTAAGGGAAAATAAATCAAATAAAGCACAATTGCACTATTCGATCGTAATTCCAATCACTAATACACATGGTTTTTTAAAGAGCGACGAAAAGTTAATTTAAAAACATATCGTTGAAGATACACAGAACTTCAAGCAAAAACAGTGATCGGGCCACATACATCGAATCAAGCATACGAATAGCGAACGATAATATTGTAAAATTTAATCGTTCAAGTACGACGTATATAATATTATATACGGTATACGCATTTTGTATGTACGATATTTGCGTGTATCAATACGTATAGAAGATATGGTGTCATCATCTTGTACCACCTTCCGATGATTTTCCGGCGTTCGGTGTGGTTACGTTCAAGATATTTACGAACATCTTGTTTGCGCATGCGCATTATTATAGTTTATTGGATTGAATTACCTTAATAATTATATTAATATTAACAATAAAAACATTATTCCCTTATTAGTATTCGAATTACCTATTTATCTGCAAAAAAAAAAAAAAAGTGTACTACATTGATACGAATTTAGTGTTTGTATATATTATATTTGATTTGATTTTTATATGAACGCAAAAATCTATTTTGCGAGGTGATGAAATGTAGCTATAATATGTAATATGTTTTCATTATGCACGTCATAGATTATTATTAATAATAATCAATTAAAATGATGAGTTTTGAAATTAGTTAATGATTTAATAAAGGAAAATTAAGTATCTAAAAAAAATCTATTTAAAAATTACAAAGTTCAAGTCTCAAAACTGCATTCATAAGTACATATTTAAAATATTTTCTTTTGAAATCTGTTTTTCAATTAGTTAAAAAAATTAATATACATTCCCAGTACCTATAATTTTTTTTTCCAGTGGTTAACACTAACATTTTTGTATGTTAACCAATTGATCACGATCAGTTCAAGCAGTTAAATCATGAATCATTCGATTATTTGATTATTGAAATCATTCGATTAGTTTTATCCAGGCACGTCGTCAAGGGGGGGGGGCCTTAGGGGGCCTGGCCCCCTAAGAAAAATCAGTGGCCTCGAACTGTCTCCCTTGATTTCGATTTTTAAATATTATGGTGTTTAGTTGTCCTAAACCGGCTAAATCCTGAATGTATATTCCATATGGGAGATTGTAAACTTCACTAGAATATCGGTTAAATCAAAAAGATAATAAAACGTCTAGTGTAAACTCCTCCGGTTTTTTTTCTTGTTTACCTGCTCAGTGCTCACATTGCCACGTAAAATACTTCTCACATTAAATACTTTGACATCTATTGCGATGATGTATGTTGCGCCCATTCCATATAATTAACGATCGTATAACAAAAATTAAATTTTGAGATTCTATTTTATAAATATTTGTCACTTGAAAATTTGAGATAAGACAATAGTACGTGTATTAATAGATTGAAAACTAGGAATTCCAAATACGGATATCGAACGCATATTTGATACATTCAACTACAGAAAGGGGCCAAAAAATATTGGCCCCTTTATAGAAATATGTCTGATTATATACCTGCGATAATAATATATTCTCCAGAGTTTCACGCGCAAAACTGTAAAACAACGTGATTATCGAACGATCACAAAGGTTTTCTATCAAACGGATTAAATATGATTAACAATATACGGCACTACGCAAGATAAAACGAAATTTTAACACAACAAAACCGTTGGACTGTGATGTATTTTGTCATACGAGAATATTTAGAAACTCAATTATTAAACGCATAGAACGTGGCGTATAAACGTGGCAGGCCGATTTAATATTACGTTTTAATACCCCCCCCCCCCCCCCCCGACACATTTAAAATAACTTTAAACATAAAACCCTCGTTCGTACTGTACTATTACGGCCGTAATGTTTTACTCCTAATCCCACAAGTTCATCGAATCTACACGTTTATCGTACAATTAATACAAATTATAATAATATGTTGACGGTACAAACATTACATCTACCAACAATAATATTAAGAGTCAACACATGCATTATTATTCCATTCGCATGCTCTATTGTGTAATAGTTAAACTGTACGATTAAATACAATATACCACAGAAAAAAAAATAGATATATCATATTGCAGGGAGTACTTATATTTTTATTTTTATTTTTTTTATTTGGAACGGAACAACTTTTAGGGTAATAGATACCTATTTTTTATATTCAAGTGACAATTCTCCTTCACTCGTGTCACGTACTTTGTCATAGAAGCCGAAGTACTAACATTTCGTGAAACTGTACTCGAATAACTAATACAAACTGTCTGGCGAGACGTAGCAGAGTGGAGTGGGTGGTTACTGAGACTAATAAGTGTTTTTTCCTTCGTCGCCTTGGCCGGGATATCATTTCTTTCTCGGTAAATTAATAATAAACAAATACATTTCATGCGATATTTTTTTCATGTATTGAAATTGTCAGACCACTCTGTAATGAGTAAAGTTTCAGGTACATGAACTCATATGATCGGGCCTCCATGAAATGTAGTTCCGAAAACGATGAGCGGACTCGGTCATTTCGCCGCCGGACCATTCGTCAAAATCATTTCGCCGCGATCGTTTCTCCGCTCTTATTTTTTTTCGTATGTCAATAAAAAAATTTTGATTGGCAATACAATTATGAAATTTTGATACAACTTTTTTCATACATTGTTTTTACTCTTGTGAAAAATTTTCAAAAATCTACAGTCAAAATTTTTACAAATAAGTATTTGAATTTGAAATGTTGATAAAAATCATGAAATCTGCCTTTTTTCGGTAGTTAAAAGTTGATAAACATTCCAATTTGTATACCTACGCACAGTGGCGTATCCAGGGGGGGGTAGGGGGTTGTACCCCCCCCCCCCCCGAAAACTATTCAATATTTAATTAATTTAATAATCGACTGACACAGTACGCGTCACCCAGCGGTCACCATTACACCATTACATTATAACTTTAAGATTCTTGTAACTTTCAAGATAACTTTTCGTATAGCGTACGACGCACGTATAAAACTGACCAATAATTAGCAAAACCCGAATTACATGACAGTATGATACAGAATACAGATAACATAATATTAAAACCGATTAGCGGCTTCTGCGATTGCGATATCGATATCTTACAAACTATAATTCCCAATGTATTTTTACATTTCTTAAACCTTAGTACATTTTCGAATACTTCAATAGCGTTTTTCATAATAATTGCCCATATTGAAATGTTTGCGCAGTCAGTCTGTACTTTGTAGTGATTACACTGATCGCGGAACAACTGTTCACACCTTTCGATTTGTATTAGCGTCTTATAATTTATTTATTTATCACATAAAATGAGCAAAGAATCAAAGAATAACATTTTGAAATACTTTAGCTCTACTGCCTCAACATCTTTGCAAGCTTTTAAAAAACTAAAACTAGACGACAACGTTATTCAAAATAATGAAATTTCCTTAAAGTCGACATCATCTCAAATTTCGGCTTCTGAACTATTAGATAATACAAAAAATTTAGTTTCTACTTTTGAAGCACGAAAAGATATTTCTTACTACATAGGAAAACAGGTAAAATTTACTATTATTTATGTTTTATAAATATTTTAGATTTATATGAAAGGTTACACTTCTGATGCGAATTATTATTTTTTATATATTTTGTACATTCATCATTAATACTAATTAACAATATATTTATTAAAATACCCAAATAATATTAATTTTCAGTGGTCAGCTGAAGAAAAAATAGATATTTTAAAAAATATATGGGTACCTGATCCAAATTATAAATTTCCTCAAAGTGGCAATAGGAACTTGAGATTTCAAATAAATTGGACGTATGAGTTCTGTTGGCTTCGTTACTCAAAAATACAAGATGGGGCTTTTTGTTTGACCTGTATTTTGTTCCCACCATCAGATGGATTAGGAAAGGGTGGTCATCAAAATCCTGGGAAATTAGTTATTGAAAAATATAATAATTGGAAAAAAACCAAAGATTTGTTTATGAATCACCAAAATAATCATTACCACAAACTTAGTCAAATTAAATTTGATAGTTTTTTGGTAATTAGAATTAAAAAAGTTGAACCAATTGACAGACAGATAAATGAAACTTTAAAAAAAGAAATGAATGACAACAGAGATCGTCTCCGTCCAATTATTAAAACCATTTTATTTTGCGGAAATCAAGGAATTTCGTTAAGAGGGCATAGAGATTCGGGAGTTATTGATCTAAATGAACATGCTAGTACAGAAAATCAGGGAAATTTCAGAGAGCTAATTAAATTTCGAATCGATTCTGGTGACAATGTGCTTAAAAATAATTTAGAAACTACCAATAAAAATTCCACCTATTTAAGTCAATCAATCCAAAACGAAATAATATCAATCTGCAATAAATTAATTCTAGAACATTTGGTAGCTAATGTTAATAAATCTAAGTCGTTCACCATTTTGGCTGATGAAACGACAGATATTTCTAACAAAGAACAAATGATATTATGTGTTCGTTATGTTGATTTAAATGCAAATAAAATTAGAGAAGACTTCCTACAATTTATCGAAATTCAAAATATGTCAGGATAAAAATTATCTGATGTTATATTGAAAAGTATGACTGACTTCGGACTAAATACTAAATATTTAACTGGGCAAGGGTACGACGGAGCTGCAGCAATGAGTGGCAGATATAATGGCGTACAAAAATTTATTCGCGATGAACATCCTAGTGCCTTTTATTTACATTGCAGTGCGCATTGTTTAAATTTAACTATAACTTTTAGCTGTAAAGTATCAGAGGTAAGAAATTGTATGGGTACTATACAAAGTGTAAGTAATTTTTTCGGTTATCCAAAAAGGCAAAGTATTTTGCAATTATCAATAGTAGAAATATTTCCACAGAGTAATCGTTTTAAACTAAAAAATCTATGTGCAACTCGATGGGTCGATCACCATGATGCAGTTATATTATTTGAAGAACTTCAACCAGCCATTTTACATGCACTAGATAGAATAACACTTTGGCCAGATTCTGACACTTCTAGTTCTGCAAGTCATCTACTTCCTGCGATAAGACAGTTAAAATTTCAAACAGCTTTAGCTATTTTTGTGAAAATACTTTCCATAAGTTTTCCTCTCAGCCGATATCTTCACACTGTAAATCTTGATCTAAAAACTGCACTAGAAGCTGCATCTAATGTTCAAAATACTATTCAGAAAATTAGAGAAAATTGTGATGTAAAGTTTCAACAATTAGTTTTATCTGTGATAACATTGTGTGAAAAATTTGATATTACTGTTAGTTTGCCACGTTAATGTAAATCAGATAATCCAGAATATTTTTTGAGAGTCTCAGTATTCATACCTTTTATAGATAATTTTCTAGATCAATTGAACGATAGATTTATATCACACAGGATTGTCTTGAATAATTTTGATTGTATTATACCCAAGATAGAAATGAAAATATCTGAAGAGATTAAAGGTAAATTCAAACAATTAGTAGAAACATATCAAGATATAGTTGATGAATGTACCGATTCAAATCTAAATGATAATTTATTAAACGGAGAATTAGATTTGTGGTACACTAAATATTCAACTTTAACATCTTCTGAACTCAAGAACAAAAATGTTATTGAAGTATACTTCCAAACTAGTCCAGATGTTTATCCAATAATATCTAAGCTTCTTCAAATATTCATTACACTTCCAGTATCTACTGCCACGGGAGAACGATCGTTTTCAACACTCCGTAGTTTGAAAACTTATTTGAGAAATTCTTCTGGACAAATACGTTTAAATGGTTTAGCCTTACTTAATATTTATCGTGATATTAACATGGATATTAATGATGTTCTAGATGAACTTGCTAAAAAATCGAAACGAAAATTGAATATAAATTTATATCTTTAAAAAAAAAAATAATTTACATATTTTAACTTTTTATAATCAGCGTTGTAAAATAGCTATACACTTATAAAATATTTAATGTATGATAATTTATTATAATAAAAACACACAATTCAATACAATTTTATATGTTACACTTTTATTAATTCCCAAAAAAAAAAAATTCTGGATACGCCACTGCTTACACAAGATTTAAAAATTTAATATAATGTGCTAAAGAAGTTGCTCTTTCCAGCGAACCAAAAAAGTTTACTGGAGCAACGCAACATTTGTAAGAAAATTATATTTTGATGTTGAAATCTAGTATTTCCGCGATAAAATCCAAAATCATTAGAAATGTATACTACCTCTAAAGAAGATCCATATGAATATTTAGTGAACATTTCAAGTTCCTTACGATTATTATTTGTTGAATTACTTTTAAAAAGAAAAATCGTAGTCAGTAGTCAGTAAATATTGCCGTTTTTTTTTTATGCAATTTTTCATTACTTTTCCTCAATTATTGGGAAAGCTGTTAAGAAATTTAAAAAATGACTTCTCTAGTCTCCAATAAACCAACTAGACAACATATGCTATCGAAAACCAACCCTAAAGTTGTTGATGGGATAATTTTTACTAGGATATTTTACATACACAAAAACTAAAATACATCATGCTAAAATTAATACATTTCTCGTTTCAATCGGAATTTAAAATTTAATTGCCCCACCTTTCTTCCACATTACTTCCAAACCTAACCATACAGTCCACTCTTTCTCTCATTGTCTCAGGTTTCTTTCCATACGACGATTTAATTATTTTACGATCGGATTCTTTGTCGGACGCCATTCCGTGCGTATAAGCGATAGCCCATTCGATCGTCGGTTCTGGTGTATAACCGTTAACTGCCGTACACTCATAATAAATACATTATTATATTATATTATAATCATAGGCGTGCGCAGACCTCTTTTTTAGGGTATGCAAAAGGCTGTCACTGCCTACCCCTCCTCTTAAAACTGAAAGTTAATTTAAGCTTTCGATATTCTGGTCTTAATAACTATTTAATTTAAAATATTAATTTTTTTTCCTGAAAAAGTGACTGAATAGCCATTTCTTAATCGTTTTAACTGTCTTCATAATGAAAATTTAAAATAAATAACGAAAAAAAAAATTAATACATAACACTTGAAATGGTTCAAGTAATACGTTTAAATAAGGTAAATAAATAAAAACGTAATTATATACTTAAATGAAAAACAAAATAAATTTGATAAATAATTAACATTAATCATAAACGATTCTGCGTAGAGTTGAGTTCTTAATATCACCAATAATGTTTTCGGGATTTTAATTTATAGCCATTTCTTATTCTGTAGTTGATAGCTATTTAATTTCGCTTGAATTATTGTACTTTTTAATTTCATTAACACATTAAATCGTTATTATAGCATATGATTTGTGTTTCAAAAATAAATTGAACTGTCTGGGACTGAATATAAAAATATAATAAAAATCATAATGTAATACAAAATCACATAATATACATAAAACCAAATATGTCATAATTTTTATTTATTTTTTGTAATTTTAGAAAGAAGGCTCTATGTTTAGGGAATGTAGTTGCATACCCTGCATACCCCCTGCGCACGCCTATGATTATAATTCATTATAAGAAAATATGCAGTTCATTAAATCGTATAGGTACGTAATATATTGCAATGACCAATTATTCGATTTATTGGAACAGAATTTTTAAAGTAAACAAATCAAAATCATGGAAACCGTTATGTGTGGTCATGGGTAAATCAATTACATTTTTAGCAACAACCATAAGAGAACTTTTTATTTTTCAAGTACACAATAGACATGTGTTTGTCTTGGCGAAGGAGGGAGTTTGTCCCGATTGTCCCTTCCTGGATCTGTCTCGGGTTTGGAGTAATGTACTATTGTGTGTACAGGTCAGAACATATTTTAAGTAATATTCATTGGGTGGCACTTTAATAAAATTGTCTACCAGAGAAACATATAGGGAAAATCAACTCCTGTCATTACGGTCGTTATGTGAATGTGTTGGTTAGTGGCACGATCACCTGCCACTGGGTAGCATTCAATTACCATTGGGAGGCATTAGTGCCACGTACTTTGTATATTAAAATATGCTCTGGTACAGGTAAGATGTACCGTTGTCGATAAATTATTATAATATCATGACGGGCGCATATTATTATTTTACAGAGCGAGCGCGTTTCAAATCGTATTCGATCCATTTTCTGTTATCTCGACACGGAAATCCCGCGAAGTGTGTAAATCACGGATTTAGAAAAGGTGGCACTAAAGTAAGTGACGAGATAGCGACCGACGACAAAGGCTGTCCGTCCTACAATAGATCCAGTTTAGTGTAAGGCATTACTTACACTTTTTTATTCTCACGTTTTTATATTTATATATTTTTATTCTGCGTATTTTAAGTGGTCCAACGTTTTGTCTCGGTATCAGCTGTAGACTGTAGCGGTAATCGTGGCCTAAACACTTTCCAGATTGCATTTTCGGTCGGATTCCATTATAATTAAGGTGACCATACGTCCCGTTTTTCGCATCTTTGTCTCGTTGTCTCCAGGAAAATTTTTGGGATACTAAAATGTCCCATTTTCAGAAAATAGTAAAAATAACGATAATCCATTTTAATCTGTCAATGAGTTATTGTTTCTACGAGTATTATATTTAGCTATTATGTGTGCATGTAACGTGTATATACTGTATTACTGCATGCATGGATGACGTTGAACGGCAACAGGGCTATGTGATGTAACGGAATATAATTACACTAATAAAATATAAAAAAAAACTTATTGTGATGAACGATGTATCAATATGGACGTATTAACCTAATGTGTTTTAATACTTCAAGTTTAGCACTAACAAAAAATTATTCTTATAGTTCATTATTTCAATTCTACAGTAATCATGGACCGTTTTTTTTTTGTTTACGTAGATGCTTTTCCTTTTTTATAAAAAAAAAATAGTTTTAATAAAATAAATTTTTTTTTGTTTTTTAAAACCATAATAGTTCATTATTTTATTAATAATTAACAAGTAAAAAATTTGTTTTTCATCAAAATTATTATTTTTGTTTTTTTTTTTGTCCTATTTTGACTAGAAAAATATGTGGCCACCTTAATTATACTTCAAAAGTACCGCAGTGGCTGAATAAAATACGTTATTTTTTTTCCGAAAAATTTATCCCATAGACGTGACTAGTGTTCATCTGCAACGATGGCTGTAGTCTAGCTTATAATCGGCACTGCCTTTAATAACTGGAAAAAGCCGCTTCTACTTAAGATTTTTTTTTATATTGAGGGGGTCTAGTACCCCAATGATTATCTAGTATCTATCTTGGTTTTCCGGTAAATCACACTGCGCACTACGAGTGTTCCGATCTTAAATCTGTAGCAAACAAACGAATTAATATTTTAATGACAAATCATTTAACAATCGTTGAATTCGATGATCGATTACAGTAAGACTTTTGAATAGATGGTAGAAATTTTTACGCTCGTAAAGTACGAAACGGACAGCTCTGTAAATCGAGTTTTAGTTTTACGACGAAATCTTACACGTTGGACGTTTTCCTACACCGTATACTTAATAACTGCAATAAATATTTTCGTAACAGGAAATTTTCGTGAACGTGC